TTCGCGAAACTAGTATCTGCAAACGTTTTTTTTCTTGCAGACTTGAAAATTGCAAAAAAACCTAAGAGTTCGTTAGAAACAACTTTTTTCTTTTATTCACAGATGAGCATCAAATTGAAAGCTATATTTCACGCAAAATCGTACATACGAGTTATATACTGATGATGATTTCTGAAAAAGGTCGAAAGCTTCTTTTTTTTATTTTTACACTTTGTTAAAGTTCAATAAAACTGATATTTACAGTACTTTTATACTTTTTAAATGTTTAAACTGTACTCTAGACCAGTCCTCGATGATGTAATTCGTTTTCTATCAAATGTCTGTTAATGGCTGATAAAATTTTACTAAATAGTATTTTTAGTCAGTTGAGACTGTTGTCTGTTCATTTTTTAACATATTACATGAGAACGTTTTGATTCGAAAAACTGACAGTTTTTAACAGTCTCAAAACGCTTTGAAAACAGGTATTAAATAGTGACCGTTTTACGACCATTTTTGCGTCATTACTGAACGTCAACGGTTCATGTTCTGACGTCGTCAACGATTAACTTCTTTTTGTAAATAGGTTAATAGGTTATAAATAGGTTTCTAGACTTTTTAAACTTTTGGATTTCATATGTCCTTGGTACCATCACTGAAACTAAGTCTAGAACCAGCAGATGCTTAAGTTTCGATTACTCGTAAGATTATGGAAGAAAAAACGTTCTAATTTTTATGAAAAAACAATGTAATATATAGAGTAACTGCAGCAGTAAAACAAAAGAGTGAATGACTTGTTCGCAACCTATCAAAAAAGGAAGTTATGTTTTTCTGCTTTTTCCCTAACGGTCTAAATGAATAGACAATATCAACGATCAATAACGAAGAAAGCAGACTTTTCAAAATGCCCTTAACAATTTTTTTTCTTAGAGCAGAATGTAGATGAACCCAGCACACTTTTTAAAAAGTGTAAAACAACAGTGAACGAGCTAAAATCTGTAATCAAAAAGTTAGAAAACACAGCAATCGGACATGATGGTGTTCATAATAAATGTATTAAAAAGTACTCATATTTATTGACAGTGTTATCGATTAGGAGGTGGTAGGGAGTGGCAAACCACCCCCTGGTTCGGATACAGTTACTCAAAAACTTTTGACTTACTCAAATTTTTTAAGAAATTTAAGTTGAAAAACTGCCTGAGTAAGTGATTTTCTCTAGCTTCTGACTAATATAACTCAGTTACTCAGAAAAAAATGTAGTCAAAAATGCGTTACTCAATAAAAAGCTTTAATTACTTATCAGGCTCGCCACCAGGGGTCTCAAATGATTTTTTTCGAATGTGGGACAGAAAGTTCCGAATGGGGGACGCTTATTTTAACGAAATAACGGCACGTCAATCTAAAATACCCGATGAGCTCAACTAAAGTCATATATTGCAAATAAATTAAAACCAATATTGTGAATTTTTTAACCATTTATCGTTAGAATTACACTGTCATTTCTTCTTATAGTTCTAATTTAGAGTTTATTCTTTCAAAGCTAATTTTTCAAATTTCAAACAATAGATTTTTCCTTTCAGTTAGGTTTTATCGACAAATTCATATCACACGTATGATAAACCCTGAGACGCGCACGACAGGAAGAGTGATGTTTTTGGGGACGGCTCGAATCTCAGAATAACTCTATTTGCTACAAACTATCAAAACACCTATATGATAATGATCTTTATGACAAGATATGCTGAAGAGGGCATAAATCTTTGCATATTATGTAATAACCCGCCACTATTTTCCTCCACTGAAGTAGTAGGACTTCAAATAAATTGCCAGTGGGGAACGAAACATGTCCCCCATGGGGGATTTATTTAGTGGGGGAAAAAATGGTCGAATGGGGGACATTTGAAAACCCTGCTCGCCACCCGCCGCCAAAAATACTATCGAAAACACTGTTTATTGATACAACATTTATTGGCTTTATTCAACAGCAGTGCAACATTGTGATTCTTTCCAGCTGAGTGGGAACTTGCACACATCGTTCTGATATTGAGATTTGACAAAGACTCAGAACATCCGGAATCGGATCGACCAATTAGTTTGCTTAGCTGTACAGGCGAGATCATTGAAAGAGTGGTGAAACAGCATCTATCTCATTTTATTGAAAAACTACGACTAATTTCAAAATGTCAAGCAGAATTTTGATCGAAACGATGTACAACAGATAACTTGTTACACCTTATCTATAATGCGAAGCTCAATATAAAAAACGACAATTAGCACTTATCTTGTTCGATGTAAAGATGACTTTTGATTCAGTATCGCACAAGAGTGCGTTGCTCAAAATTAAAAGCATGAAAATCCTTGATTATTTATGGGTGTGTGTTGGTACTGCGAAAATTGAATACAAAAGTTCGACATCAACAGTGTTTTATTTAAGACGAGGCACACCACAAGGATCGCTATTGTTACCGTTATTTTACATTATCTACATCAGCGACAGTCTTACCAACATACCGAAAATTGACATTCAGAAAACATCAACTCGATTAGGCACTTTAGGATACATTTCGAGAAACACAGACGAAAATGCAGGTAGTCCATTGCTATCAGTATACAAAAATGTGATCCACTCCGTCATATCGTACGCCTCACCAATATTTATATGCTGATCTGATGTACTGGGAAAAAATTCAGAAGATTGAAAATCAAGGACTGATATATGTACTGCAAGTTCCGTTCTACACCTCCGAATATATGTAAGGGAGCAGCCGAACCAAAGCACAGTACAAGAACATTACAAACAACAAGCACATAAATACCTCAACAGAGCAATTCAAGGAGGCAATCAAAGAATAATCGAAATTTTTGCTGAAACATTGATACTGAAAATTACTATCATCTACTATTAACAGACTGTCCTCTGTTCGACAAAAGTCTGTTCGAAGAAAGCTAACTACTAAGAAAGGAAATAATACACAAACGATGTAAAACAAAAGAAGTTTTCCGGATATAGAAGACTTAGTGTCCATGACCCTTTTTAATGATGTGAACCTCTTCAGTAACAGCTTTTGACCAGACATATATATTCCTAAAGCTCTTGACATCAGCTATACTATGAACTAGAAAAAATTCCACAAAAACGAGGATCACTTTTTAAATGCATAGGCTTTTGATTGGCTCTTCTCTTCATGTCGTCAGACCACATACCAAACTGTTAAGATGCAACAAGTGCAAAAAATTACGCGTTAAACGCTAATGTCAGTATAAAATCTCGTTGTTTTTAACGGTATGCGCCTAGCATAGCCTAACCGAAATAAACTAGCAAAAAAGACCATGTTGAATTCTATAATACTTGTTCCTCAAGCATCTACCTTCAAGTTAGATTATATATGCAGTGTGCAGTTTTCTGTTTTAGGCCTTGTCCAGACTACACTCTTTTCTCACTTAAGTATTAACTTAAGTCATGTCGAGCATACGACTTAAGTAGGATTAACTTTTTCATCCAATATGGTTACGAGTTTCTCACTTAACTTTTGTAGCCTGGACAAGACCTCCGATAGTTGCGACAGATGTTTGCGTTAAAATGAAAAACAATTGTATTTATTCTCATTCACCTCTTTGCTTAACTCCATTTTCAATAAGAGATTTTAATAGCACAATACCAGAGGTCGTGCTTGAACGCAGTCATTGTAGTTTATCCAGCGTAAGAAAATCGCCTTTTCTGATTAGTTAATGCTTCCAAGGTTAACCTGCATTAACAAGTGATGTTTCAGTGTATATGTAGCTCTTTTATCTTGATTCGCTAAACTGTATAATAGTAATAAAAAATTATATTGCATTGATATTGATCTATCAAATATCGTAAATCTTGAGAATTTATGTTGCTTGTAAATAAAAACTGTGTTTGATAGAAGGAAACAAAATCTTTCGCGCTTTCAGCTAGTCTTAACATTTTGTACTACTAGATCGTTCCATCAGTAATGCTCAGTTATTCTCTTAACTGAGCTGAGATTTTATTTCCGTTTGACTAAAAGTTGTTCATTGTTTCATAAATATTCCCAGATCGATGTATTTCCATAAGACAGTTCTCGAGCTCTGACTTGCTTTAAGACAGTAAGAGAGTAACCTCAGGTATAAATATGCTAAAGAAATAATAAATAAATGACATAAATAACCATAAAGCGAACAATTATTCAATATAAAAGAAAAAGAAAGAAAAATTTGAATGGTTTTGCCATTAGATTAGATTAAACTTTTCCAATGTATAACAATGAAATCAATTCTATTAAATAAAAACCGCTCAACAATTTTGAGCTTCCTGGAACAAATGGAATGATCGATTAACATGAATAAATTGACCGGCTCATTATGAAGTTACATATGTAAAGCGAAAAAACTGTTATTCTATAAATTGTCAAATGATGCTAATTTATAAATTCGATTTTGTTAGAGTGTGTTTTTTAGACCTGAAGCAAAGAGAAATGAGCAATAATCAATGTACGATTGACATTTCAAGTTGTAGTAAAAAATGAAATAAACAGGGTTCTTCGGAATGACAAAAAAGAAAAAAATTACATAGATAAAGGTGTAATACACACAAAAATGCAGGAAGCATTTCAATCACGGACTTTTTATTTTTTCATTTTGTACATGTATAAGAGATGACATTTAAAGAAAGTAAATAAGCGTAGTTGCACAATGCAATGTTGCTGACCATTTCTGAAATTCATGAATCTGGCAGGTCTATTTCTGCTAGTCGGATATATTGTGCGATATGAAACTAATTTGTTCAACAATCTTTTCTTCAAGTTAAACCTCTTGTATACTACATGTTGGAAATATGTGCTGGTTTTGATAACTATTCGCACATTCTTGCTAAGCCACATAGTTATCTTGTGTAAATCCGTTTTTTATGATATTGTGTTTGACGTTTTGTTTTAAATTCGATGAATTTTTTACTTGATATTATATGTTTTCAGCAGTGTCTTACATGAGGCTATATGTCTATTTTTAGATGTTCTGAAATGAACTCGTTGAATGACTGTCATCCATCTCAGAAACGAAAATTTGTGGAAAAGTTACCTGTGGTAGGAAGAGCATCGGAAGCGAGAAAACATGTATCATTTCAATTCAAACAAAAACATACACAGGTAAGTGATTAAGTTCAGTTCAAAATAGTAAATAGTAGTAGAACATTTTCCTCTTGTTTCGCTATAAAAGGGCTTTGGGTCTTATTGTTTTTGTGCCTCTTTTTTTACTGTGCTCATTCGGTTATCAAAGAAAATGAAATTATATGGGTAAAATCTATCATTTAACAAATGAACTTCTTGTGTTCTTCTAGAGTGTTAACGATGATTACATTCCAATCAATTATGAAGAGTTTTTAAAAGAAAATATCGAAACATTAAACAGTGATAGATACAAAACATTAGTATTATTTCCGCCGGATGATATACAAGTATGTACTTTCATAGCGCACGCACATTTTGAATCATACAATTGATACAAAAACCATTGTAAATAAAGACAGTAGTTCCAGATGTTATTTTTAGTCCAATAAATAATGATTGTTTCGCTTTCATCGGACCATGATTGTACCCCCAAAGAATTCTCCAATATTTACGCTTTATTACTATTCGTTTTTTGGTACCATTCTTTGATGTATAACTAAAGTTAATTTTTGTTATTCTGTCTTTTAGTTTCATAGAATTGAGCATGATTATCGTACATTAATTCCGACTATTCCTTCATATATTCATCAACAACAGCAACAATTGCATTCTCTCGTTAAACAAACTCTTCTAACTTATTCATCGTCATGGACGTTAATCGAATTTAAATTACAGCAAAAATATGGGCAATATTTTCAACAATTACCTCATCACCATCCTCTCCCCATACTAAATTCTCAACACAAATTTGAAATTGATTCACTTACTCAAGATGAAAATAATGAGGTATGCGCTAGAATATGAAAGTCGTATCTTATTAGTAAAACTAGATATTCAAAATTAGCTTATTTTTCTCACTTCTGTTTGCTTTAGCATCTACCAACAAGTTCTTCACCCTCGGCATCAAGCAAGCAATTGCCTGTAATATTAAAACAAGGTTTTCTATCTTTATCGTCAGCCTCACGTAAATCAAAGCGCTTGTATGGTCAGTTATGTCGTGCATCTGACTCGACGTTTAAACTCAACTTTTACAAAGATACAGTGAAATCTGTCAATGATCAGCCAAAACAAATAATATTTCTCGATTCATGCTCACTAATTCCAAAAGTAAGAAAAAATCTTTTTTAGCCACTTGATTAAACGAAAACATAGCAGCGTAATGCTTCGTTACCGAAACTTTTATTATTCTATACTTCGTAGTATATTATATTCTCATATTTTGTTAAAACTTGCAAGTAAGAGTCTAGGATAAAGTTGTGAAAGTTCTAGAGCAATGTGTTGTCTTTTAAAATACGATAAACATACATTTGCTTGTTGATAACGGATGAAAAACAAGAACACGAAATCGATTTGACAAATGCTAATCGAAATCAGGATCAGTATATTTCTTCTGTTGTCTGATACAGAGATTTTTTAGCTGTTTGTTTATTCTAGGCACCTATCCAGAAATTTTTCCAGTTAAATTGTCCACAGTCTCTTGTTTACACCCTCTCAACAGAGAATGATCAAGATTTAGAAGAATGGTACAAAGTACTTTTGCAAACAACCCATAAACAAGATCAACATGGACAGGGTGATAGCAGATGTAAGTAAAAAAATTTAGAACGAGAGTAGAGATATATAAGTAGATAATAAATGTTGTAAGATGGGATAAACAATTCTAACTTCACACGCTTGTAGGTAAGCCACAGCTGAGAAAAATGTTCGCTTTTGGTAAGTTTTTTATTCTGTTTAATGACAAAATTGCTAACCTCAACAATACTTTGCTTCTCTCTCTTTCTCTCTATCACTGGACATGCGCGCCCTCAGTTTGTAATTGTAATTAGTACATTCAGAGGTAGAATTATTTCCGAAAAAATGTGGGTGGTCGTAATATACAATGCTTTATAAAAGTAGTTTCATTCTGTAACTCAGCAATGTGACAGTTAATAACTTGAAATTATATATAAATGTATAAGTTTCGTCTTATGTCGAGTATCCAACCAGTTTCAGCTCATTTGAATCCATAGTTCTCGACATATCTCATTTTTCCACTAAAATACAAATGAAAATGCAAAACTGCCACGAATATGATTATAAATCATATTCATGGCAGTTTTGCACTTTCTATATAAGCTCTTACAATTTTCAACTGCTCTCTCTCCAAATTTCAAAATACAAATGACTTTTAATTCAAGAAAAGAAGCAAGTTTTTCTTACCTTAGAATGGACTGCTGATCCATGATCTAAATTTCATATGTTCACGTCCATTAGGTAAAAATTCGAAGTATTAGAAGGAAAAAGTTATATATTAAAATTCACACTTGATTGAAATTACAATGGTTAGTGTGCCGAGTTTTATAGATGAAAGTGTAAAGTATAAGCATAAGCGTCATTGCACATAAGTCACGAAAGGTCATGCTCAATGTCCATCTTCGATTTTTTTCTAAATAGTCTTATCTTGTAGAGTATACTGGAGAACCTGTAAATCCAAGTTTTTAGCCGTCCAGGTGTTTTCGTTCTGTAGATATGAAAATTTCTCGAGACGAGTAAAGTTCGAGAAATTACATGGGCAAACAACGTAAATTCCGTTTTTCTCGCAAACGATAGGAGATGAAACCAAGATGAGACTACTTAAAAAAAAATCGGAGATGGGCATTGAGCATACTTCTGTGACGAACACGAGTTTTTCTCATGCAATGGCTCATAAGAATAAACAGATGATTGAAAAAAAAAGATTGTTCCACATCGTGTATGTTAATGTGATAAATATGATAAAATGTAGACATATGGAGATATTAGGAGCCAAAGACGCTGCGGGGACGCTTTTCCTCCTTGGCTAGAACTGATTGGATGCTCGACATAAGACGAGACCTACACATTTACACACTATTTCAAGTTATTAACCGTCACATTGTTGAGTTGCGAGATGGACACTGCTTTTATGAGGTGACATGTTACAGATCGATAGCTATATAATGTGTCAGAACCTGATTCTATACTTATGTGATAGAAAAGATCGTTGTTCAGCTAATTTACCATAATTTCGTGCATATTTCTCATCAGAGAGAGAATATTTTGTTTCATACACGCGTTGCTAATCTATTGCTAAGAAGTGAATGTAAAGCATTATGTTTAATTGCATAACACCAACCGTTAATAGTAATTGATTTCGATTGAACACTAACGGACATATTGAATAATTTCTTGTTTTTTTCTACTTTGTGGATTTTACATTACTGGCTTTCTAAAGCTTAAACGCTGCTTTGTCATGATATCAAAATTATTTTTCATGTATTATTAATATTTATTTTAATTTACTTTCAGCTCCAATCGATGAAAATCATTCTGATACTAAGCAGGTTAGTAATTTTTTTTATACATTACGATTATTTATTTATTTCTCTTCTCTTATTTTAGTCACAGAATGGACTTTCAAAAATCGTTGAAACAGATGATATGATTCGATTCGAACGTGAAAAAGATCATATTGATTTATTTTATGTTTATGAGCAAGCGTACGCTAATGTAAGTTTAGAAATAAATAAAGAAAACGTATTAATATTTACTAGTTTTTCTCATTGCATCTATTTTATCACATTTAGCTAAAATGTACACGGTTTTATTTTTGCTTTAGCCACCACCTTCGCTCGATGATCCAATGTTGGAACAAGATTCTTTAATTCATCCAACAATCAGTGATAATGAATCTACAAAGCTCCGTATTCATTTACAGTGTGAAGAATTTAAATCGGGATTATCTCTGCCATCATATGCAAATGTAAATATAGCATTTCCTTGAATCTGCTTTCTTTTTTTAGATTCATATATTTTCTCTGTTGTTATAGCCTGAACCATTTTATTTAATATTTTCATTATATGATGTTAAACAACATCGTAAAATATCAGAAAATTTCTATTGGAACATTAACGAACGGCATTCATCAGAGACCGAGGATATACCATATTTCTTTACAAAAAACAATATACAAAATCAATTATTAAATTTAAATGAGGTAAGTTCAATATTATGTGAAGTATCAATTCTTCAGTTCATCATTCAGTAATTTTTTATTACTTCGATTCTTTTTTTTTCCTTCTTTTGAAGACATTGTTCAGTATAAAACAGCCGTCTGATTCAATTTTTTTAATTGTTCGTGTTGAAAAATTACTACAAGGTGCAATATCAGATCAAGTCGAACCATATTTGATTTCTGAATCAAATTCTGAAAAACAAGCACAAAAAATTTATCAACAAACACAAAAATATAAACAAAAATTTGGTGAAAAATTTTTAATGCCTTTCGCATGGGGATTCAAGTAGGTTGATATTGTGGTAACATAGTTAAAATAGAGATTTATTTTTCTTATACTTGAACTAAAACTCCAGTAAGAAAATATAAATCGAAAGAACGAATTGGATTCTAGCTTAGCACATCATTTACACGAAATCATCAGGTACAAATATCGATCGACTCTCGAATGTCTTATGTAAGAACAAATATTTTATTCATCTATCAAATAAGAAGTATATCAGCATTAATTAAATGCTTTTAAAATTTATTTTTGTATTCAAGAAAATAAACGGTTAATGTACTTATAAGAAATGAAATAATTTTTGAAAGTCTTTCACTAACAGCATAGATCAAGTTTCGAGCCTGTGTTTCCTTAGTTGAGATGATTGTAAACTCGTTATTTTAAATCTTATCGAACTAAATATCATGTACATATTTTAGATCACTATTCAAAGCTTGTACTTATCCATTAGAAATCAATCATTCATCTGTACGTTTTTATCGTCAAGAATGTTTACATTTAAATGATGAATCTATACAAAAATATCTATTCGATTCTATGAGCAACAATAAAACGATAAAACTCACACCCTTATCACAAATGCAGTTACAAATCAAACTATTTCAAGAAAACCGACTACCAAACAGTACGTAAAAATCGAGATAAAAAGTTTTCCAAAAAAAGGCTGATTTTATTTTTGCTTGTTTAAAATATAGTTGCCAGTTACGTTTTGCCCCTCTTAACACTATAGACCAGTGTTCATATCTACTCAATCCATGCTAAAAGATTCGAGAAACTCATATCAACTTTCAATTAATAGAGTAAAATTTACTTCAGAAAAAAGAATATTTAAAAATATCTAGTTCGTCCAGCTTCTTGTCGTTGATAATGTTGATACTTCTTCAATCACTTTTGGTATCATATCCCGAGAAAGAGCTTAAAAAGACTGAGTATGTTTACTCATCACGAAATATTTCGAGTTTCCAATGAAGAAAATATTTTCAAAAAGCGATGAAAAATCAGAGCTATGTTTGGCATGTTTGATTTTCATTTTGTGTCCAGTCACGTGTGTGATGCATTTTTTAATTAACTATTAGCTGTCGGGTTGACAAAATTCAACTTTCTTATAAAATTGATAAAAATTAATAATTTTGTCTAATGCCTTACACTGACGAATATTGATTTTTAGGAAAAAGTTTAGAATTAAATAAGAATGCCTCTGTTTTTGATTTGATTAAAGGAACTGAACATTGAAACATTTGATTTCAAGAATATATCTCTATTTAGATTGTTTAACAACAGCATATGCACCTCTAAAACCATTTCCATTACCACTAACATGTCCATTAGTAATTGAATGTCAAGAATTTTTGACTACAGATGATTCGTCAGTTGTCGATGTTTTTACAGAATATATTCATCATTTATATTTATATCCAAAATCATTGAAATATGATCAACAAAAAACTTTTGCAAAAGTAGGTGAAAATATCTTAACGATCATTGAACATATATATGAAAAAGTGACAAAAGATTTAAAAATTTGATCTGATTATTATTTGTACAAAATAGGGGTGGCACATTACTGTTAGTTTTAAGAGTAATCCAAATATTGTATATATTCCTATTACCAGTAACAGTAATACTTTCCAGTTTTACTGTTGCTGGTAATAGGAATGCCCATAAAATTTGTACCGGCAACAGTAAAACTGGAAAGAATTACTGTTACTGGTAATAGGAATATATACAATATTTGGATTACTTTTAACAGTAATAGTAATGTGCCACCCCTAGTACAAAACTTAATATTTATTAATATTTACTAGTAGACTGTATCTGTTTTGATAATTGAAAAAATATCTTATATATGTTTTCTTTGTTATAGGCGCGTAATTTATGTATTCAAATTGAGTTACGCGATTCAGATAGTGAAAATTCAAAACCTCTAAAAGTATGAGATATTTTAATTCTCTTCATATCATATATTTAACTTATGATGTATTTTTAGTGTATATATACTGAGTATAATCGTGAAACATTTTTTACACATGTTTATTACACACCGGTTAGTCATCATTGTCAAACACCACAATTTTATTCAGAAGTAAGTTGTTGAAGCACAAAACATGATTTTTTTAAAATTTTTATTAATCATGTTTTTCTAGATCAAATTTAATCTACCATTAGTGTTGACTGATCAACATCATATACTATTCACATTTTTACATGTGAGTTGTGATATAAAGAAAATATTTAATACAGTTCAAGAAAAAGAACTTGTTGTCGGCTATGCATGGATACCTATATTAAAAAATGGAAGGTAAAACATATATGATCATTGAAAGATTTTGAATCCAATGGGATAAAAATATTTAATTAATTTTTAATTTTCATGTATAGACTAAACAATGAAGAATGTCAACTACGTGTTGCACAAACATTAACATCTGGTTATTTAAAATTTGAACAATTAGGATTGGGAAAGGTAAACTAGTTAATAAAAGATTATTTATTTTCTATGTGTGCTAAGTTGACTGTACAGGACTATGAAACTTGGCGTTATTCTGGTGTAAGTTAATTCGGCTCCATGATTCTCTATTTTTTTTGTGGCTAAAAATGCTCTCGTTAATTATCGCCTTCAAACAATACCAATTATGCTTTTTAAGTAAATTTATTAATAAAAAGGTAAAAGGTAGGAATAAATTCAACGTTTGGGTCTGCTCTCTCTCTCTCTCTCTTTCACTTTGTTATTTACTTAAAATTCACACTATTTTTTTTTTCTATCCTTAGTCTCTTGACTATGATATATAGAACTAGATATTGTTTCATTGTTCTATTGCTCCTGTTTGAATCGATTAATCGATAATTCAGTCGATTTTCAAACACTATTTAAAATGATCAGAAAAATTAAAACTTATAGGGTGGCTTTTAATTAACGCTTTAGAAATTAATATTTTTTTATTTGTTTTCTATCTTTAGACATTAGGTCCCGATATTAGATGGGTTGATAATGGTAAACTGTTGTTTACTGTCGATTTAAAACCAATATCAACTATTTATTCAACGGTATGATTGACTGGAAATAAATGTATTTAAGAGTTCTATTGTCTTTTTCTTTTTTATCATCTTTATTTTAAGCAATGTCATATTCAAAATTTTTTTTCACATTGTGAGAAGTTTTTTTTATCCTGTGCGTCCAACAGCAGTCGTCGTCCATCATTATCAAATCAACTTGATATATCGCCAGTTAATAAAGAAATGATGGATATGGATACGAATCTCAAAGTAGGTTTACAATGAAATTTATATTTTTTGCTTAAATTCAAATTTTATTAATAACAATTGCTTTACTTTACACTAACTGCTTTTTCAACTAATGCATGTTGTTTGTCTTTTTTTTTTCTAATCCGTTATAACGTATAGACTTTGTCAATAATGGAAATGAACGATGTAGATAAAACATATCCAATTCCTATTAAAGAAGATCTTGCCCTAGGGCATTATGCGAAGGTAGTTAAAGCTAGTAGTACAGTGTTCGTTTTGTGTTTTTGTATTGATTGTCGTTAGTATGTAGATGATCATGTTAAATATATGTTGTAATAAATGCGTGTGATATTTTAAATAGATAAAAAAGTTTGCTGACAGAATGAAACTCTAAATATCGTTTTGCCAAAAATAAGCAAAATAACGTTTTATGCTTTAGGAGACAATCAATTTTTGCATGTTTTAAAAACTTCTATTAAACTTAGTTATGATTTTCCTGTTTTTAATATATTATTCATGAAATTTTTCCTGTTCCAATCTAAGATACTTTTTCTCCAGAGTTGTTATTTAAAAATATGCATGTAGTATATTGATTTTTAGTTGTCTCCATTGCATGGTTTGTTGTATAATAAAATATGTACATATAAAAGTTCTTTCCATATTTAGGCTCTTCATGCTGTACCTCGTTCGACAATGATTGAATATCTTCCAACCTTATTTAATCAATTATTTAAAATATTATTGATAACAAGAAGCCAAGATGTAGCAAGAACAACGATGAGGTACAAAATTGATGATATATATATATATATATGTATCGAAGAGTTCTCATTTTTTGTTTGTTTAGAGTTATTGTTTATATTGTATCAGAATTGAGTGAAGCAAATAAACAATCAGCATTAAAAGCATACATCAGAGTATGTAAAATATTTTAAATTGACATATACATTTGTCATCTCTCACTTTCTATTTTTCAGTATACTTATGCATTATCATCTATGTTTTCAAAAACAGTTCATGAAGAATTATTTTTATATTTATCTCAGTTATTGAAACCTGTTTGTGGTGACTTGTCTAAAGATTTGGCTCCATGTTTAGATGTCGTTTTAACAGAGAAAGTACTGAAATATTCATGGTTTTTCTTTGAAATTAGTATTAAATCAATGGCTCTTTACGTGAATGATAGAAGTGTATTAAATGTAAGTGGAAAAAGAAAAAACATTAAATGTATTTTTTTTATCGATATATTTCTTATTTTATAAAATTTGTTAGATCTTCTAACTGTTTTCATTTATTTATATATTAATTTGTTTAGGGTTCGCGTATAAGTCGTTTTCCAATATCATATCATGAATCTATTGAAGCCTATAGTGATCAATTACATTTATACATGAAATCAAATGAAACACAACGAAGCTTAATAAAAGAAATCAAATTAGCCAATAAATATTTTGCTATTTTTATTAAAGTAGGTTTTTTTCTTCTTTAAAATCGTTTATTTTCATTTTACCTATTTCCACACGTGTTTCTATTTTAGAAATGTTTGTCATTAATGGATCGTGGTTATATATTTCGTTTGATTCAGCGTTATCTTAATGAATTTAAACAAAATGATTCTAGAGTAAGTAGTTTTTCTCTCAATTTCCTTCTCATGATATTGTTTTTAAAGAATATCTCTTTGTTTAGGATATATATGAAATGAAATTTGATTTTTTACGAATACTATGTACTCATGAACATTTTATTCAGTTAAATTTGCCTTTAATATTCAATTATGATAGACAAGGTGTTGGTACGTACCGATAGAAAAAATGAAAGTGATAGGGGAAGGTTTTTAACGTGAAATTTCATAAAATTCTTTATTCTAGATATTCATTTGGAATATCAATTATCACAATCTTATCGTTCAAATCATTTTTTAACTGGTTTGATATTAGCTGAAATTTTGCTCAATCTAAGACAAGTGGATTTGACCACACGTGATAGACGAAAACTTTCAATATCGTTACTGAGATATGTGTTGACAAAACATGAATTCGATGACCGATATAAACAAAAGGTATTACTGTCTGTATTCTATTTTTATTTTGAAATATACAACCGAGATGAAGATTAAGATGTTTTGTACATATTGCCTAATCCCATGAAAAGATCTTTAGAGTCCAAACGTTGACTATCTTAGAACGTTAAAGTAGGTTAACTCTTTAAAGAATGACTCTTTAACTTTTTCAGAATGATATAATGGGAATTTATATTCTCGATTTCGTTCTGGTTCAAGATTAAAGCTTAAACCAACAACAAAACACAAAAACACAATAAAAATAAAAAAAATACACATTGAAGGATAACATCGAGTCATTGCACAACTTCAATCATTGTGCAGAATATAGGAAAGAACAGCGAAGTTGATTTTTGCAGTTCGTCTGCAAAGATCA